GCTGATGGCAGGGGGCGGTGGATATTTGTGGCGGTCAATGTGGATATTGTGGATGAGTTCTTCTGTCATCACGTTCTATTAGTTCTACAGCTTCAGTTAAGGAACATTCACGCTTAGTAACACATACAGCTGTTCCCTCACCACAGTGCGACAGTGAAAAGGGACCCCTTTCAAAGAGTGTCATGTTCCGAACGTTGTTTTAACGACATAATTTTAAAAATTCATATCATAACAAAAATAAACACCGGTATTCGGTATGAACCGGTATACCACCCAGCACTACTTTCCACACAACCTTTCCTTTACAGCCTTTCTTTACGAAGGCAGGTTCAAGCCTGTGGGCACATGCAGAAAGATCTTGAGCAATGCCAAGTGTGTCATCCTCAAAACCAGTTTAAATACAATAAACACCCAGATTACAGACCTCTCATTAGCAGCTGAACATAAAGGTACCTGCGTTATACAGAGAGACCTAGCAGCTTGAGATATAATGCAATTTTCTTACGTTTTGATTGTATATGATGAAACATATTTAAGATGAAATATCTATGTATAAAACTGATGTCAGGTTTATGTTCTGTTTTGGTTTAGTTTTATGAGTTCCCAGTTCCGTTTTTATGTCAGTTTCAAGTGGTTATTCTATTCCTGTGTCTTGATCTCTCTCCTGAGTGATTGCTAATTTGAGTTATTGTTAATAAAATTTTTACTCCTGCAGCTAGATCCTGCTCAAACTCATCCTCGATGCAACCACTGTGACAAATTAATCTTAAAGTCGGCATGAAACAGAAGTTGTGATGGTCTTTTCTTCCCTATTGTGACCTCGCCTGTGAAAACCCGGCGAAAGTTGCATAATCTATAAGATAACGAGCATAAAAATAGTCATAGCCTTAAAAATGACAAAAATAGGTCATTTGTTTATTTTTGTAAATGCTTGATTATATGAAGCGATTTGAGATACAGTACTCAAATTTTCTTTTATAACACGATAAAAACTAAAAATATATTATTTTATTGACACTACGTTTTATTATGTTTTATTGGGCAAAAAATACCTGGCTTCCTAAACACTGATTTCAATCTTCTCTGGGTTTACTTTCGATGCAGAAACACCTGCAACTGCGACTTTACCCGGGTTTTGGATTGCTGTGTGGATTTTTTTCACAGAAATTTCCGGAACAACTTATTTGTTTTGTAACTCAACATTCTGCAAAGATAACTAGCTTATTTTAAGGACATTTTATGCCTGTGACGATAATAATAATTTAGTCTTTGGATGCTGATCATGATGCTTATGCTTTGGGTTGATGAATTCCTACCTGACATGAAGTGCAATGCTGCATC